GTGATATATATATATATTTATATATATATATATATATATATATATATATCTCCAGTAAAGGGGCTTTAAAAGACCAGCACATCTAAGCAGCGTATCAAGTGGAGAGGGAAAGACTTTTGATTTATCTGTTGTCCAATCTCATTTTGTGCTGTTTTTTCATAACAGTTCTCTGCCCACACAAACAAGTGCTAAATTCATCCGTACTGCAGAAGAGTAGCAGCGGGTTATGAAGGGTTCTCGGCCACAGCTCACATCTCTGCTGGATAGATCCACAGCTGTAATTGGCTTTTCCGTTTGGGCCTGGGCTGAACCTCAGGCGATATCCGCGATTGGCGAGCAGCAGGGATAATAGTTAAGACAATCTGCTGTTGATGTGTGATTATTTAGTTTTTTTTCTTTGCTTTTTATCATGATTGTCTTCATTACACTGGCGTATCACTGCTTTTGTTTACTCGTACCTGTGATGGGGCAAGTTAAGCCAACTGTTTATCCATCCACCTGCGCACACGTATTATTCAGTGAATATTAATTAGTATCAGTCTGTTGTGAATACAGTACACTATGACTGTGTTAGGATACAGTTGTCAGCACTAACAGTGGTATTCTCTATGGCTCTTCTGCTGACGCCCGGCAGCACTCAGTCAGCTACAACCAGTCATTAGAGGGCTTGGTCGCCGCGCTCTGTGGTAGCAAGCTAATGAGCACTGTTTTAACTACCAGTTTAATTAGCCATGCTGCTGGAAACAAAATGGGATTTCCATTAATCAAGAGGAGGAGTGCATGTGGAGGGGTGGTGGGTGGTGGTGGTTGTATAGAGGTGTGTGTGTGTGTGTGTGTAGGCTTGCCCAGGCAGTGTGCCATCATAGTCTGTAGAGACCACTGGGGCACAAACACCTCAAACTAACACACACATTAACACGTAGCTCACACTCTTCATTTCGTCACAATCACACACTTCAACACATGCACAAATATTTTCAAGCAAACACATGCCCCGCTCACAACTTTGTCACTTAAAGGATTCACAGTTGTCTCTTTATAATCAAGAGTAAACATGTGTTTGAGACAGAGATAAAGATGTGTCTGCATCGCAGATGAAATTCCGGCAAAAACAGGATGGGAGGATTAGAGGGGTAGAGAAGCGAGAAGAGGATGGTGACTGCAGAAGTAGTCGAAAAAGAGAACAGAGAAGACAAAAGCCTAAACAAAGAGAAGATTTAATCAGAGAAACAGTCTGAAAGAGAGAAGGATAGAGAAGACAAGTGGGGAAGATATTAAAAAGAAGAAGATGGGAGATAATTCCAGAAAACAGAAAGGCGAGAGATTTGGGGAAAGAGAGGAGGGAAGTGGCTCAGTGGTAGTGCCAGTATGAGGCTGTGAACACAGGCCCCTGTCTAATCCTGCAGCTCTGTGTTGTAATTAAATGAGAGGGAGCATAGAAAGCCTCCATCCCGTCCAGACGCTCTCACTGTTACTCTGCCAGGATCAGAGGATAGAGGATAGACCACTATTGCATTTGTAATACTGCACAACTGTTGAAACCTTCTTTCCCTTTTCTAGTTTTCAGCAGCTTTGTGCAGTGTCACTCTTTCTTTTGCTATTTCCCTCCTCGTCAGCCCGCTTTATTTCATTTCCATTCATTCAGCTGGAACACAAATCAGTTGATCTACTCAATCCAACTTAAGGAAATTAAGTGAATTTGTGTAGAACATTTTTGGCTAAAACTACAACATTATTGACCAGGACAAAGCGCTATATTGTGAATTAGGAAGTCTGTTAACAGGTTTATTCCAATTTGTAAATCAACTTCTGAGATAAACAGTCAGATCAGATGTCTTTGATTCATGATTTTTTTCCCACCTTCTCGTAGCTTTGCGGATAAGTGTCTATTAGTCTCCAATTTTTGGACTGAGTCTCTTCCTCAACATTTGGTATCAGTGGCTTATCTCTTCAGCACTACAGCAGGCCTTACACTGGCATCATTTGTACTAGGCTTAGCCGTGCTCAGGGAACTAACCCTTTCTCCGTTTCTATGACTGTCAGCGAGTTTGAGGAAGGAGGGGGAGACTTTTAGTGTTTCATTTTTCAGCTTGTCATTCAAGAATTTCCTCCTTTTTCTTTGATACTTGTTGAGCACAAACCACTGTTGAAAGGCCCGAGGTCTTCTTCCTTCTGCTCGCGGTGAACATGTTTAGACTGCCGGTATAATCATCGTCAGTCTGCTCTTCTTGCTCGGCTGCTCGTAGACACCCAAACACTGTCAAAGCAGCATATTAGTTTTCTCACTGTGATACTGTACTCTATTTCACCCTCTCCTAATCCTTCTTCCAGCTCTGTCAGTGAATTGGCCCGAATGATTCTTAGACAAAACCTGAGATGCAGGAAAAATAAACAGTGGCACAGAAGAACCTGTGTGTTGTATTGAAATAGATTTTACATCTGTTATACCGGCGTGTTTTGTTTTTCTTATCCTGCTATCTGAAAGAATCATAGTCGCAGGAAGAACTACAGCAGTTTATTTTAAAAAGTAGTTTCACTCAAAGTTGCTTCCTCAGGACTGTTCTTATAATGTAATCTCCACATAACTCAAACCCATAGCTTCATAGAGCTGTATGGCACTCTGTTTCACCGGATCATGGATGTGAAATGTGGCTCTATCTGAGGCCATGTACAGTGTCTCCCTGATCTCCTCCAGTAGTCCTCCTCCACAACAATGTGTTTTGCTTATTGTAACTTCACTGGGATGTTTGATGCTAGATGGTTGCTGTCACATTTATTTGCTGAAGGTAAAGGTTTCTCTGGCCTCCCGTTAAATCTCAGTTCAACATGTGAAAGTACAAACTGAGTTTCATATAGTGGTTCAAAATTCAACCTACACAAGCGAGATGTGGAAACGGAGACTTTTCAGTGAAGTAGGAACATGAACAATATTTGCATATTCATAGATTCTGTATATTTCAAGGAGGATAAATGAGTAGATTGTGTGAGGTAATGGAACTAAATAACCACAAATTATTATTCAAATGAGACTTTTTTTAAATGTCTTACAACATGCCTAGAGGGAATCTTTAGTGTTAAAAGCGGAGTTTTACCCTAAGGATTTCCACCCCCTCCTCACCTTCTCGCCCTCTCCTTCTCCTCTTCTTTTCAGCTTTCCCTCCCTCTGTCTCCCTTTTCCCTCCTCTTTCCTTCTCCTCCTGCTTCTCTCTGCTCACACAGCCCCCGTCTCTTGCAAGGACACTTTTGTTTTGCTCTCCAGCTTTTGCATCTTTATCCATTAACTTCTCATTATTCCCCCAAAATCTTTTTTCCCCTTCAAAACATACCCTTTTAAATGTGTATTTTAAACATAAACTAGTCTGTCTTTATTTTCTCTCACTTTGCTTGCATTCTCCTTTTTTCTTCTTCCTCAATCCCTGTTTTTCAGTTTTTCCCCTCAGTCCTACCCCCCGTCCAGCCTGTGCGGTGCATTTATCCCTTTGAAGTACTGTATTATGGTCTGTTCTTTTCTGTTCACGCCCCGGCGCTACGTGCTGTCAACGCTCCTGGCAGCAGATAATGATCTCCCACTGCTTTTGTAATTGGCCAAATAAACACTTGACAACACTAGTTTAAAACAGACAAGTTATTTGGTTTTAATTAACATAGTAGGGCCTGTAATGGCTTCATTAAAAATGCGTTATTTCAGCTGCACGTTTGATTATGTTGGAAGCGGACATCTTGAGGGCCTGTGTTTATTTTCCCTTTCTTTTCTCTCATGGCTGAGCGTTGCTTAGTGTCGCCTCCTCTGTTATCAGTGTGTTTTATTCATTTGAATCAAGTGATTTACAATTGTGGTATTTATTTTAAACTTCACATTAAGTGCTAATTATGTGGTTTTAACCGTTGAAATCTGCTGTTTGATAATGCCAAATACATGGGGTTGATATTAGCTGATTATTTTATGTCATACAATTTTTTTTATAGGGAAATAAAGACAAAATATCAAAGATTGCCGAGAAGCACCATCTGTCTTTTTAATTGGTTCCAGTTTTAAAATTAGGCTTTTTAATGCTGAGCTTCCAGATATCTCTTTAGATTTTGCTTCAGGCAGACGGAGTTCACTTCAGTTTTTATTGTGTTAATTTGTGTATTTTTAATTAACAGCTGGAAAACCGTTTTTCCCACAAATGCTATTTAGTCGGATGAAAATGTTTTGAAATTAATTTGATCTTTTGGAATAGTCAGACAGTTCCCTTATTCAGCTGATTGATTTGATCTAAATTGGCTGATGAAAATTATATTGACTCAAGGTTAAAAAGAAACTGCAAAGCAGAGAGTTAGATTTTGTCTGTCTTATGTATGTATGTATGTATGTATGTATGTATGTATGCATGGCTGTGTAGGCACAGGAGGAGAGAATATGACTTAGGCAGAGCAGAGGAAAAACAACAGCTTTGTTTGTTGACAGATGCCTCCATGCTTATGGTCTGTTAATTGGATAACAATGTAAACAATCACCGATGGCGCCTGTCTCCTGTGTCAGTGTGGCATCTTGTTTCCCTACTTTCTTTTTCAGAGTCAGATGCTGCTCCCCCCGCCATCTCTCCCTGGTGCACTATGAGCACAAACTCTCATCCCGAATTCACTAAGAGCACACACATCCACACACGCTGATATGTAGTCCACAGACACACGTCTTCTTACACACACAAACACACACACACACCTGCTCCACCCCAAAGCCTCATTTACTCCTACCTGATGCTGT